AACAGGAAAAACTACTGTCCTTTATCACCTAGTCATTACACAGACTTCAGAACCTGTTCTCAGAAACTGCTGTGATGACCTTGGCTAGTCCTGGGACACACCTACCATCTGTAAGCTAGTCACTTCCAAGAGCCCAACTTCAGTACCCTTTCCTTGACTCTCAATACTTAGAAGCCCTACAGGTTCCATATGAATTCCCATTAGCGCCCCTTACCACCTAGTCCTAGCCTTCTCCATATACATGTTAGGTGGCACCATCAGCCACCCAAGACTTGGCTCCAACATGAAGGCATTCTTAAGATTCCTTCCTCTCTTCCAGAGTCAGCATATTACTCTACAAACTTTCTAATCCTGCCTTGCACACAGCAGCCAGTGATTTCTGTAAAATAAAGACAGGAGCCTTTTCACACCTGTAGCCCAAGGCAGGCGGATCACGTGAAGGTAGATAACAATACTGTGACACCTTGTCTCAAAACAACAAAAGCCAAGAACTTGGTATGTAGCTCCGTAGTGAATGCTCCTCAGCATGCATGAAGCCCTGAGTTCAAACACCACCACCCCCACTACAGCCCTGCTCTAATGAAAACTCAACGGCTTCTCACTGCAATTCGGACATGTGCAAAGTCCCCATATGGCCTCATCAAAGCCCCAAAGCAGCCTTCCCACACCCTCCTCTTCCTCATTGGTCTAACACTCTGCTCGGCTAAAACAAGCTCATCCAAGTCTCAGCTCACGTCATTTCTTCAAAGAAACTCTTACTAGAGAAAATGGCCATTCCCAATTCCTGGCATTACCTGCTCCCCCCCGCCTCGCGCCCCCAGCTGTAAATTCCCAGAGTTAGACATCTTGTTTTGATTTCCACTAACACTACTAACTATTCTTTCCCTATAAGCCAGTTTGTTTAAAGCTCTGCTGGGTATTCGACAAAGACTAGAATCACTTTGAAATAAACTTGTTTATATACTTTTGGCTTTTTGTTTTATTTTGTTGTTTTTCCAGACAAGGTTTGAAATAAACTTGTTTATATACTTTTGGCTTTTTGTTTTATTTTGTTGTTTTTCCAGACAAGGTTAGAGAAACAGCTTTGGCTGTCCTGGAATTTGATTTGTAGACCAGGAAACTCACAGGGATCCACACCTGCCTCTGCCTCTGCTGGGATGAAGGGACCACACCCGGCTTAGTTTGCTGTTTTGTGTGTTAAGTCTTGCTATCTTTTTTCAGTTACACGACTGTCTTGCCTGTTTGGCCTACATGGACTTGAAGGGGGGCAGGTTCTGGCCTAACTACCTGGTTTCTCTCTGGCTCTGTGACCTCCTTAATCTTTCCCCTTGAGTCGCCTTGAATCCCAGGAACAAAGGAGACTGACAAACATCTTCATGGCTGGGCCTCTAACTCCCCGCAGGGCAGTGGGCCTGTAGGACCGCCTAAAGCCAGTGACTGTGGTGGGGAGGTGGTTACCTGGAGCCCAAGGAACTGGTCAGAAGCAGATGACACCTCAACAGATCTCCTTAGTTCTAGCTCCCGCCCCTTGCTTTCCTGACCCGGCTCTTCCTGTTTAACCTCAAAGCTGGCTGGGGGTGGAGCTCAATGGGTAGTGTCAGCACCTGGAAGACCACTCATTGTCATGGGCCCCTTGATCTGTCCCTAGTCCCTACTCCCAAAGAGGCCACAAGGAATAAGCTTTTCACTGTCCTTCGCCTCTGATATTGGTGTGCTGTGACCAGTGTGGGGGAGTCGAGCCTGTTGGGACTGTCAGAGACAGGGCTCTTGCCAGAACTCCAGTAACAGGGCTGCAGCAATGCCTGAGGGAAGAGGTGATCTACTGCCAAGCCTAACGACCGGAGTTCAATCCTCAGAACCCACATGGTGGAAGGGACTTAAACAGGCTGTCCTCTGACCTCCACACTGTACTGCACATACATAATCCTACACACACACACACACACACACACACACACACAAATAATAATAATAAAAAAAACAAACAAATCCTCCAGTAACAAGACTCAGAAGCAAGCTCTAGTACTAAGGTTTTAAAGTCTCAGGATATCTAAGCAGCTTTCTTTCTATAAGAAAATGTTTTCAATCACTTCATAAATGTCAGGAAGAAAGGAAAATTAAAAATCGATGTGAGCAGTAACCCAAACTAAAATAATGTGGACCTCAATCTGATGCTGCAACGCCCCCATCACCGGTAATAAAACAAAGCAACACAGTGTACAGTCTAGTTAGAGGATGTTCCAAACGTGCGCTGTACTAGGCTCTCCCCGGGGGGGGGGGGGGGGGGGCCCTCTGGAACAATGGACTCTTATTCACACTTATCCCTGATGAGTAGACCAGAATTTCAGTTCTGGAGGTGGGAACACCTCGTTAAAACTCAAGTTGCCTACCCACATTACTGACGGACACAGCTGGTTTTGGCAAATAATGGAGGTAACAAATCTGTAATTAAACATCTCTCAGTTAACTCTGATGCTCAGATTCAGAAATCATGGGTGTGGAGCTTTTTGGGGGAATGTAAACCTTGCTGCTTAAAATGGCTCGAACTAGATTAATAAACAGCATTGGGGTGAAAGAACGAACAGCAAGTATTTAAAGCACCACGCAGTCTCTGGAATACAAGTGTTCAATGTGGCAGGATTTATTGCTGGGCTCCTAACATACACTACTTACAGTATTGTATTCAGATACACAAAGAAAACCAACGCCACTATGTTGCCTTTAGCCACTAGAAAATTAACTATTTCCATCTCTGGATACCTCCTGACCTTTCCAGACTGCTCTCCTGTAACAATTTAAGAATGCTACACACCTCCCTGGTATTTATATAGAGAAACAATCTTTTTTTTTTTTTTAGAAAGTGAAAAAGTGCATTGAAGCTTATTTGAGTTTCCCTTATTTTTGAAGTACTATGAAATCACTTCAACCCTCACGTTCCCACAATCTGATGACTAGACCCGGGTATTTTCCGGGCTGTTTTACAATACAACCAACTAAACATACACGGATAAAATGAAGAGTACAGGAGGAGCATGTTACTGGAAGGCCGACCGACCCTGTCCTTGGCTTTGGAAGCTCGGACTCTAACCCTAATAATCCAGGGGGGTCTCAGAACCCTGCCTTAAGCCGTCGGGCCGAGGTCAAAGGAGAAAACACGGCAGGATGCGGGGCGTCGCGGGGAGGGATCCCCTAACCGAGGAACCCGACCGCATCCCACTATTCTCGGCCTGAGACAAAGGACCGAGAGCGAGCCGCCGCCGCCGCCGCCCCGGTGCGCGCAGGGTCTGGGGTCGCGGCGGCGCGGCCTCCCCGGCTCGGCGGCGCAGGGCCCGGCCTCCCCACGGGGCGCCGCCCGCCGCCAGGGAAGATGGCGGCCGCCGAGCAACTGCGCCACCAGCGCTGGCCACAGGCCAGGCCCAGCGCCATCTTAGCGCCCTCCACCCGCCGCCCCCACCCCGGGCAGCCGCCTTCGGGGCGACCCGGCAAGGCGGGGGGCCGCGAACCCCTCTCGGCCAAAAACGTGAAAAACAAGACCAAGACAAAAACCAAACTAAAAGCACAGAAACCGCTCTCCGGAGCGGCCCTCCGCCACGGCCCGCCGGCTAACTCCGGCCTCGCAGGGGCCCCGCACGGCCGAGCCGAGGGTGCGGCGGGCAGGCTCGTCCCGGCTCGGGGCCGCGGCTGCTCCGCGGTGCCTCGGGGCCGGCCGGCGGGCCACCAAGTGCGGGCAGGCGCCGCGGCCCAGGCCGGGGATGAGGCCCAGGAGGCCGGCCGCCCCGCGCGGCCCCGGCCTCTCCCCGGGCCCCGGCCTCTCCCGGCGCGCAGGGGCCGTGGAAAGCACGGAGCTGCCGGGACCGAGGCAGCCGGCTCCCGGCCGTCCCCGCCGCCGCCCGCCCCTCCCCTAGGCCGACCGCGGGCTCCATTTTGCCGGGAAGCGAGCAGCCGCGGTTGACACCCCAGAGCCTCGGAGAAAGGGAGTGGGAGAGAAGGGATGGAAGGGGTGTGTGGAGCGGCGAGGGGAGGAGATTGGGGAAGCTGATTTTTCTTGCTCGGCCGCCGTCACTGCAGGCCCTCCCTCGCCCCCTGCTCGCAGCCCCGCCGCGGCGCCGTCCTCCCCTCGCCGAGCCCCGCTCCCTCCTCCGCGGCTCCCGGGCGGCTCCGGGGGGCGGAATACACACACTCGCACACACTCGGCGCACACAACTAATTTGAAAGCGGCTCAATCAATGAGTCATTAAAAGGCTTCCCTCCCCTCCCCTCCCCACCGCCAACCGCCACGCCGCCACCTCCCCTCCTTTTTTATCCCACACCCCCCCCTTCCCGAGCTCTCCCACTCCCCGCTCTAGAAATTTGCATCCGCGGATAGGGAAAGGAAAAAAAAAAAAAAAAGAAGAAAAAGGAAGGGGAAAAAAAAAAAGGGCAGGCGCCAGGCCCCCCACACGGCCGCGGCGCCCCCGGCCCGGCGCCGCCGCCCCCGGTCCACCCGCGCCCCCGCCCGAGACACTGAACTTGGTCTTCCCAGGGCCCCGGCGGCGCTGGGAGAGGCATCCACACTAGATTCCCCTTTTCTCCGTGTCCATTAAACATCCACCCACCACCACCATCACCCACCCACAAACCCACCCCCCCCAAAAAAAAAAAAACACAGCCTTAGCCAATAGCTCTCTGGGCTGAAACCTAATATCCTGGTTTTGGCAACTCGGTGTTTAATTTGCTCCTCTTTCTTTTCTGTCTGGCTGGAGATCTATCTCCAGCTCCCCCCCCCTTCTCCTTCTTCCCTCGCTTCTCCCCTCCCCGAAGGAAAAAAGAGGCAGAGGAAGGAGGTTGTGTTTTTTTTTTCTCCTTGAAATTTTTATCACAAAATTATAATACACTCAAAGGGAAACTCACCGTCATGAAAAAGCAGTGCCTTGTCAACGGGGTTTCTGCGCCATCGCACCAGGGGCGGCGGCGGCGGCGGCGGCGGCGGCGGCGGCGGCGGCGGGCGCGGGGCGCGGGGCGCGGGCGCGGGAGCTCCAGGCCGAGCGGCGCCGGCCACACGCGCTCCGCTCTCTCTCTCGCTCACCCCCGCGCCGGGCGGCGGGCGCCCGCTCCCCGCGCCCGCCCGGCCTTCATGCTCTGCGCCCGGGCAAACGGCTCGCCCGCTCGTCTACCTCAAACTTCGGTTCTTGCCTAGTGGAAAAAAAAAAAAAAGAAAAGAAAAAAAAAAAAAAGCAAAGATTAGGATTTCTTAAATTAAAATTTTTTTTATTTTTTTTCAAAAAACCAAAAACCAAAACCAAACCAAAAAACACAAGCTCCCAGCCTGTTGATTTCTGTTTCTTTTGGATTTTTTTTTGGGGGGGGGGGACACTTTGAAATGTACTGAGGTCTATTCAAGAAACAGGTTTATTTGTGTACCCTCCCTCCTCCCCCATCTACAAGATGTGAGCTGATCCTCCTCAGGGGCCCTGTACACACACACACACACACACACACACACACACACACACACACACACACACACACACACACCAGTTTTAGCTTAACTTGGAGGGGAGGGTAAGGAAAAATAAAAATTGGTTTAGAACTCCAATTAGAGCCAGCACAGTAAAAAAAAATTTTTTTGCATATTTTTAAAAACTAAAGCAGCCCTTTTAGCTTAGTTACTTGGCAGATAACTGGGTTAGCCCAAGTTTCTTGTGTTCTACTCAACTTTACATATCCCTTTCCATTCTGGACCGCTGTGAAATCTTACCTGTGAAATTGTACCTGCAGATTAAAAAGGAAAACAAAACTACTGACTGAGAGAGGCTGAGTCCTCCCTCTGCCTCCCTTATTTATATCGCTATCTTTTAGCTTCGTGTTTGTGAAGTTTGCATTAAATAACTCCCAATCTTAAAAAGGAAAGTACAAAACCTTTTAGCACCCCTTGGCCTAACCATAATTACCACCTGTTTTAAATTTCAAATTGTTGAGACTTCTTAAGCCACCTAGTAGTACGAAAAACATTTGAATAAGCGTTCATAATAAGAGTTCTTTGCAGCCTAATTACCAATACAGACAAAATATAGCTATGGGGGGAGGGTTCTTGTCACCTGTTTTAAAGAAATATCAGAAATAAGTGATATATGAATGATTCGTGAATGTAATTCAGGTGTAAAGATACCGATTTAAGCCTAAAAATTCTTCTAAGGATATCTGAAGTTAGTTGGTGAGGTCTTGTTGATAAACATGTGTCTGGTGAGTTCTAGATAAATATATCCCAGATTTAAATTCTTTAAAATACTGTCTGGTTTCTACATCCTTTAGTGGGAAACAAAAGCAGACCTTACTGGCAGAGTTGGCCATCCTGGGAGTGGTAAATCGTGGTCTACGAATGTGTGACCCTAGGTTCAACTCCAGCACACATACAAATACTTTCCGCACCTTGCTTACTTATATAAGCATGTAATTAAACTACACTTCACAAAATAAATGTGTCAAAGCTGCCATACTATGTTGCTATATTCAACATCTTTTTCAGAAGCAAACCACCTCATGTTTTAGTAATTGCCACTCTGCCATTCTATATAATGTAGGCTTTGTATTTAGACCTGACTGGAAAATGCAGCCGGTGACTTAGTATCACATAGTATCTATCATTGAGGTGGTTTTTTTTTCTTAGAAGCCTTTTATTTATTTATTTGCTTTAAATTCAGCCAAGGCCCTCCTGGACCAGTAGTCCTTGCATAAATTAGCATATTTCTCTATACTTGATGGTTGGGTCAACCAGTTTTCTAATTGGCTTGGGAAATTTTTAAACATGTTTTAAAGTGCCTTCGGATTGGTGGGAATTTAATTAGAATACCCATTTGGAAGAATGGCGTTTCCAAAGAGTCCGTGGATTATGCATTGCGATCAGGGTACAGCAAGCCTTACAGCTGGTGCTCACAGTGCCGAGGAAACACTAATGGATTTCAGAAAGATAGCCTTCTTCATTGGCCAAAATCCCAAGGAAACCAGAAATCTCACTTTAAATCTGACCTACCATTGCCCTGATTTGATCATTATACAATGTGTGCATAATATATATAAACACATTGCACCTCATAAATATGCATTGATTATGTAGCTTTCGAGAACAAAATTAATTTTTAAAAAGATGACCTAGGACACGGCAGTCTTTTTAGTATAAGAATAGTGACCTATGCTGAGTGGCCACAGAGCTCAAGGCACTATGCTATTTACTCACACTGTCTCGAGAACTCGCCCTGAACCTAAGGAACAATGCACTAAGGTTTCATGACCCTGATTTTGTAGACAGGCTCTCAAAGCTTTCAAAGATTTGTCTGAAGTCACTAGTCTAAGAAGGGCTGACGGGAGCAGCCCTGGCTGGCGGTTTCCAGAACTTACCCTCTGTCGGGCCTGACAAGTGTCTTGGGAACCTGTCGTCTTGCTGTGTCAACGTCATGTCACAGTCCAGTGGAAAGGCACGGGCCGAGGGGCAACTCTTTAATTAGTCAGGACCTACCCAGAGACTGCCAGTTGTCAAATCTAATTTTAAATCTGGGGGAGGGGTTTGCACAATACTGGGACAGCAGTGGGGTGAACCTCGGGCTCCAGACACACTTAGATCTGTAAGCATGCCCTAACTGAGAAACATAGGCAACCTCGTAAACTTTTCCGCACAGGACTATGAAAGCAGTTTAAACAAGGGCCGCTTCTGCATGTAACATTTAAAACTCTGTTCTAGGGTTTGGAATCTAAGTTAAAATCAGGAAACCTCTTAAGAGGACTTTATTTTTTCAAAGAGGACCATTCTTTCTTTCTTTTTTTTTAATGTTTTATTTTCTGTACATGGGTGTTTGCCTGCATGCATGTCTGCACCATGTGCGTGCCTCGAGCTCAAGGAAACCACTGGATCCTCTGGAACTGGAATTACAGATGGCTAAGTGTCTCCATGGGGGTGCTGGGAATCAAACCTGGGTCCTCCGCAAGAGCAGCAGGTGCTTTTAACCTGAGCAGATACCCCAGGACCATTCTTTTTTTTTGGTAGAGGGGAGGCGGAGGGGTTAGAGACAGGGTCTCTCTGTGTAGCCCTGGCCATCCTGGAACTTGCTCTGTAGACCAGGCTGGCCTCAAACTCACAGAGATCCACCTGCCTCTGCCTCCGGAGTGCTGGGTCAAAGGCGTGCGCCACCACTGCCCGGTGCTAGAACGTTCTTAAAATGGCTTTACTATAAGTAAATGATCTTGATTGTACTATCAACAACTTAGTCATATACACTGATTCCCTTCTGTGTAAGTGACCTAGAAACAAGGGAAATTGGACACGGGGATGGGGGTGGAGGTAGGGGATGTGGGTGGGGATGAGGAGTGGAGGTTGGAGGGTGGATTACTCATTTTTCAATGTTGTAGGATATATTTGGAAGTTCTAATAAATAGTCCCAAGATTCACATAACAGTTTAGAGTGAAAGGCTGGGAATACAGATCAACCTAATATAATCCTTATCACTAGAAGAAAAAAGAAAGTGGACCCTTGCCTGGATGGCCTTTCTTAGAAGAGATTCAGGCCAGAGAGATGGCTCAGCTGGTAGCTGGGCCATCCACCAAGCCTCAGGACCTAAGTTAGATTTCTGGGGCCCACATGGTGGAAGGAAAAAAACCAGACATGCCACAGACCTGCACACATGTACTATATGGCATGTGAACACACACACACACACACAAAAACAAAAAAACAAAAAACCACATAATTAAGAAAAGAAGGTGGACATGGTGGAGCTAAGCAGCACTGTGCATGTGTGCATGACACACTTCTGTGCCCACTGCAGAAGTCCAGGGGCACCACCAAATGAGCGAGCAAGTGTGCAAGAAGCATTCTAAATCCCCAGGCTGGCAGGTGGCTCAGGGGGCACAGGCATTTGCCACCGAGCCTGATGGCATGACTTCCCACAGTGAAAGGAAAGAAGTGACTCTCGCAAGGTGTCCTCTGCCTTCACAAGTGTGCCTCGGCATGTATGTGCCCAAAATACATACATGCACATGCACAAAAACAGATGAATGTAATTCAAATAAAATTTTAGCTGGTCTGTGGTGGTACATGCCTTCAATCCCAGCACTCTGGAGACAGAGGCAAGCAGATCTTTGTGAGTTCGAGGTCAGCCTGGTCTACAGAGTGAGTTCCAGGACAGCCAGGACTCCAACACAGAGAAACCCTGTCTTGAAAAACCAAAATAATAATAATAATTAAATAAAATTTTAATTTAAATTCTCAATATGTATCAATAAGGTTCATATCCTTACTCATGCCTCTGCCTCTAACTAGTCTAGATCTCTGTCATCAGTCTAAGCGGGTTCAGATTCCATCTATGTCACTCACAGGATGGGGAGGTACTGGACGAGTCATCTCTCCCCTCAGAGCCTCAACTCCCTCATCTATAAAATGAGGTTAATTATAGTATTCACCTCTGAGGGTTATATAAGGCATGAGGAACTAGTGCATGAAGGAAGGGTGTCTCGGCAGGGCACTGGGAACCAGAGGAGCCTGTGGACTCTGCCTGTGTGATCAGCCAGTGGCAGTCTTCTACTGCGAGACCTATGGTGTGATTGGAGTCTTCCTTATTTGTTTGAGACAGGACCTCATTATGTAGCCCTGGCTGGCCTGGAACCCTCTATGAAGACCAGGCTGGCCTCATAAGATTTGCCTATCTCTGCTTTCTGGGTGCCGGGATTAAATACATGGCGCACTATATAGGCCATTGTTACTTTTTATACATGTGACTTTTGGGGGCGGTGTTGAAACAGGATCTCTCCCTGTAGCCCTGGTTAGCACAGAACTCACTCTGTAGACCAGGCTAACCTGGAACTCACAGACATCTGCCTGCCTCTGTCTCCAGAGTGTGCTGGGATTAAAGGTGTGCACCATCTCATTCTACATTTCCCCCACTTTTTTACATCTCGGTGCTTGTGTGTGTGTGTGTGTGTGTGTGTGTGTGTGTGTGTGTGTGTGTACACAGGCTTGGCAGCAAGCACTTCACCCCTGAGCCAGCTCACCGATCCCTTGGCCTGCCTTTTAAATGTCTCTCAGATTCCTCTCTGTAAACATGAGAAAAGCAATACATGTATCTGAGGTTGGTATGTGAGTTAAGGGATATTCCAGCATGCCTTTAATCCCAGCACTTGGGAGAAAGAGGTAGGCAGATCTCTGTGAGTTCGAGGCCAGCCTGGTCTGCAGTGAGTTCCAGGGCTGTTACACAGAGAAACCCTGTCTTGAAAAAAACAAAAAACAAAAAAAAACAACCCTTGCTTCAGTGCCTGGTAAATAGTAGATACTCAACAGTAGTCACCATTATTCTTGTGACTGCTATTATTAAAAGCAATGTGAATCTGGAGTGAAGGCTCAGCAGTTAGAATTTGCTGTTCTTAGGGAGGACCCGAGGAGTTTGATTCCTAGAACCTGCTGGATAGCTCATAACTGCCTATAACTCCAGCCCTGGGAGATCTGATGTTCTCTGGATTCCACAGGCATACACACATAAGTATACACACACAGATATACATAAATAAAAATATCAATCTAAAAAAAAAAGGAGTCTGGGCATGATGGTACATGTCTTTAATCCTAGCACTCATGAGGCAGAGGCAGGAAGATCTCTTTGAATTCAAGGCCAGCCTAGTCTACATAGAGATCCAACCCAGCCAGAGGACTCCACAGTAACCTGGACCCATGTATGGAGGTACACACCTGTTTATTCATTGCTCAGGAGGCCAAGGCAGGAGGCTCACAAGTGGTGCCTAGCCAGAGTAATATAGTGAGACCTCATTACAAAAAACAATAAGCCGGGCAGTGCACACCTTTAATGCCAGTGCCGGGGAGGCAGAGGCAGGTGGATCTCTGTGAGTTCGAGGCCAGCCTGGTCCACAGATCAAGTTCCAGGACAGCCAGGGCTACAGAGAAACCGTATGTAAAAAAAACAAAAAATACATAAATAGATAGATAAATAAACAAGTGACTGAATAATCAAATGAATGAAAAAGAAAAACAGCTGGGCATTGGTGGTGCACACCTTTAATCCCAGTACTTGGGAGGCAGAGGCAGGCAGATCTCTGTGAGTTCGAGGCCAGCCTGGTCTACAGAGTGAGTTCCAGGACAGGCTCCAAAGCTACACAGAGAAACCCTGTCTTGAACCCCCCCCCCCAAAAAAAAGAAAAAGAAAAACATAGAGTGAAAGGCTTGTGGTGTGACAAAGTGACAGGGGCCTACTCACTCAGCACGCTGGAGGGACTGGTCCAATTCCCAGTTACCCCCCCCCCCAAAAAAAAGACCGTGAAATTGCTTTCAAAGTAATAAATAAGCAATGTCTGGAACCCTGCCAGGGATTTCACTATCTTGCCTATATTATTCCTTCGTTCAGTGAATGGCTGTGAACACTGATGATGATGCTAAGGCTATTTAAGTCATGACACAGTTTTCAAGCTGGTCATTTTCCTTGACAGACTTTAAAAAAAAAAAAATCTAAATTCCTCCAAGCTTCTAGTCCAAAGACCAGGAATAACAGAACACAGCAGAGCTGTTCGTTTTAAGGGCCGCCAACACTCCCACTGGTCGGTCTTCAGTCTCACACACCCAGCCTGTTTCCCCACAGAGAACATGAGGGGGAGGACAGGACTGGGGTAGGGGCTACCACCTGCTGCTGGAAGGCTGGGCCACTTCCCAGCTCGCTCGCCCCAAGTGGCCTACCTCTCTTAGGCAGAGCCTTCCACTCCAGGCACCCAAGAGGTTGGGGATGGCAGAGGAGGATAAGGTGCCAGTCACATGATCATTCAGACAGTAGAATGCTGTTTTGAAGAAAAAAAAAAGTCAGCAGCCAGCATCAGCCAGCCTTGGGGGCATGTGCCCCCTGCACCTGGGGGATTAGGAGCTAGAGGCAGAATGCCAGAGAAGTGAGGTCAGCTACACAGTGAGTTTGAGGACAGCCTGGGCTACATAGGACTTCGTTGTGAAGAAAAAAGAAAAAAAAGTCAAGCCTCCTAAGGGAGGGTGTCCACGGCAAGGGGCTTGCTCAATCATTGCGGCCTCCTGAGAATGATAAAGCTGAGTGTGGGAGCGCGGCGCGCCTGTGATCCCAGAGGCAGAGGCAGGAAGGCTGCTGCACGTCTGAGACAAGCCAGGGCCCCATCTCAAGACCCTACCTCAAAAACAGAAACAGCAGCCGGGCGGTGGTGGCACACGCCTTTAATCCCAGCACTCGGGAGGCAGAGCCAGGTGGATCTCTGTGAGTTCGAGGCCAGCCTGGGCTACCAAGTGAGTCCCAGGAAAGGCGCAAAGCTACACAGAGAAACCCTGTCTCGAAAAACAAAAACCAAAAAAAAAAAAAAAAAAAAAACCAGAAACAGCGGGCTGGAGGGATGCTCAGTGGTTAAGAGCACTGGCTGCTCTGCCAGAGGACCCGGGTTCCTTTCTCAGAACCCACATGGCGGCTCACGACTATTTATTTAGGTAGAATATTTAGCTCTAGTTCCAGGGGATCCAACACCCTCTTCTGCCTCCACAGGCACCAGGCACACACCTGGTGCACAGACACTACGCTGGCCAACACTTATAAAATGAGAAAAAGAAAAAGGAAGCAAAACAGACCCAAGATAGCCAGGCTCAGCAGTTCAGACCTTCCATCTCGGCACTTGGAGTCTAAGGCAGGAGGGCCTCAGAGTTCTGGGCCAGCCTGGTCTACATGGTGAGACCCTGTCTCAAAACAAAACAAACAGGAAAACACAAATAACAAACACATCTGAAGACATCTGAAAGGAGTCACTCTATTAGTCACTTATTAATACAAAGGAGGACAGGAAGTACTAAGCAAACCTGTAAGACATAGTCTCAACACTCATGAGAAAAACTGAGGAGGGCTGGAGAGCTGACTCAGTGGAAAGTACTCGCTGCACAAGCATAAGGCCCTGAGTTCGATCCCCAGAAGCTGTATTAAAAAGCCAGGTGCTGGCCGGGCGGTGGTGGCTCACGCCTTTAATTCCCAGCACTTGGGAGGCAGAGCCAGGCAGATCTCTGTGAGTTCGAGGCCAGCCTGGGCTACCAAGTGAGTTCCAGGACAGGCGCAAAGCTACACAGAGAAACCCTGTCTCGAAAAACCAAAAAAAAAAAAAAAAAAAAAAGCCAGGTGCTGACCCTGGTGGTGGCGCACACCTTTAATCCCAGCACTCTGGAGGGCAGAAGCAGCCGATCTCTGTCAGTTCGAGGCCAGCCTGGTTTACAGAGTTCCAGGACAGCCAGGACTCCAACACAGAGAAACCCTGTCTCAAAAACCAATGCAAAAAAGAAAAAAAATCCAGGTGTTGGTGGCATGAGCTTGTAACCCTAGCACTAGGTCTAAGGCATAAACAGGAGACCAGCTAGGCTAGCCTATTTGATAAATTCCAGGCCAGTGAGAAAGACCCTGTCACCAAAAACAAGGTTGGCAGCATCTGATAAATGACACACAAGGTTGTCTTCCGGCTTCCACAGGCATGTGTACATATGTGCACATATACATACATGCACATAAAATAAAAAGAGAGGAACCAAGGAGAAGCGTCACTGTATGACTAAGGTCCATGACCATTATCGCCACATGGTTATTGGAACAGAATAATTAACCAGGCATCATTGTATGACATTGAGAGCAAAGGTCCAAATAACCTCACACCTCACAATGCTTGCACGTTGCTCATTATGAATCATACCAATCACATACCAGTTGGGTACATGTGTCAGCTCCTTGTGAGCTGACATGAGTCATATCTAACACAATCAGGAGGCTGTTCCGAAATCCACAGAGCAAAGGGCATCGGTGTTCAGGGGGAGAGTTCACATGGACCTGACATCAAAGCCTGACCGATAATCCTCCCCCCACAAGCAGGATGTATCAAGAGTCACGGAGCCATGGCTTTCTGAGTTTGTTCTTTCTCTGTCTTCACATTTCAAGGCTCAAACCTTTCACCTCCACCTCATTCTTTCCCCCAAAGCACAGAACCTGGCCCTGCCTCTCTCAAAGCCAGCCCATTTTCTCCACAGACATTCAGGCCTCCATATCTTGCTCAGCCTCCCACCAGACTCCTAAATGTAGAGTCCCCTCTCTAAATCTCAAAGCTGAACGTGTCCCCCTCCATCAGCCCCTCACTAACTGGGGAGCTGCTAAAAACACAAACTCCCGCCAGGGCTAGAGAGATGGCTCAGTGGTTAAGAGCACTGACTGTTCTTCCAGAGGTCCTGAGCTCAACTCCCAGCACCCACATGGTGGCTCACAACCATCTCTAGCGCTTATAATAAATAGCTAAATCTTTAAAACACACACACACACACACACACACCACACACACACACACACAAAAAAAAAAAAAAAAAAAAAAAACCAACAAAACACAAACTCCCTAGCTGGGGTGGAGCTCAGCACAGGCTCATGCTGGGCCTGGCTTCAGCCCCTAGCAGGCCAGAGTGAAGGTACAGGCCCGTAAACCTAAGGCCAGGAGTTCAGGCTCCTGCCTGTAACCTCATCCTCAACTACACAGAAAGTCTTAGGTCAGCCTGGGCTACATGGCCAGCCTGGGCTACATGGCTCAAAACAAACAAAAACTGGAGGGGGAGGCAGGAGAATAATCAGACCTTCAAAGTCATCCACAGCTACAGAGCGAGCTACAGCAGAGAACTGGAGACAGCTCATTCTGTGCCGTCTTGTTTTTTGTTTTTGTTTTTTTAACAAGGCCTGTTAGAGGTTTGTGAAAGGGTTTCACAAGCCACTGATGGAAGTGACTCTCATTTGGAAAACAGCAAAATCAGTAACCAAGGGAGCTGGAGAGATGACTTAGTGGTTAAGAGCAATGGCTGCTCTTCCAGAGGACCCAGGTTCAATTCCCAGCACCCCACATGGCAGCTCACAACTGTAACTCCAGGATCCAAAACCCTCACACTGACATACAATACAGGCAAAACACCAGTAAAATAAAAATAAATAACTAAAAAAAAAAAAAAAATCAGTACCTGAGGGTCAGGCATGGCATGTGCAACAATCCCAGCACTTGGGAAGTTCAAGGCCAGCCCCAGATACACAATGAGGTCTGGACCAGCCTGGGCTACATGAGATCCTATCTCAAATAAATAATTGAAAAATACAATGACAAATATCAATAAATGAGTTTTCTGTATCTACCTGACACTTACTTTCCACAGCCCATGGCAATAATCTGTTACACGTGACTACATGGCTCCGGAAAACCTGGCCCCATAGCCACGTCCGCACAGCCTCTGATCCTTACACAGCTGTTTACAACTGCAGAGGCTATTGGAGAAGGGACACTTTGTTTCTTTTTTTTTTTTTTTTTTTTTTTTTTGGTTTTTCGAGACAGGGTTTCTCTGTGTAGCTTTGCGCCTTTCCTGGAACTCACTTTGGAGACCAGGCTGGCCTCGAACTCACAGAGATCCGCCTGGCTCTGCCCTCCCGAGTGCTGGGATTAAAGGCGTGCGCCACCACCCGCTCCGGCCGGGACACTTTGTTTCTGCTTGTATGAAGTGAGTGAGTGAGTGTGTGTGTGTGTGTGTGTGTGTGTGTGTGTGTGTGTGCATATTTTTCCTGGTTACAGTTCACAGAACGTTGACAACTCTCCACTTGTCTGGGAGTTGTATTAGTTTTAACCCTGAAGTTAACACCAATTTTTAAAAAACAATTATTTATTTTTATGTGCATGGGTATTCCCCTGCGTGTCTGTCTGTGCATCATGTGAATGCCTGGTTCCTGTGGCGGCCAGGAAAGGAAGTTGGATATGCTGGGACTGGAGTTGCAGGTGGTTTTGAGCTGCCATGTAGTGCTGGGAACTGAGCCTGGGTCCTCGGGAAGACAACCAATACTTTTCACCACTGAGCCATCCCTCCAGCCCCTTAACAGTAAGTTTTTAAAAATTAAAAAAAAAAAAAAAAGGAATCACGTCAGCAGTTTTAGTTTTAGCAAGGTGTAAATTCTTCTCCCCTTAAAAGTAAAAAAACCACACACAAAACCAACCAGAGAGTATCTTCTCAGGTTGCTAGCTTGCCAAGATATCATAAATGTGGGCAAACAATCTTTCGCTTAGATGCTTAGAAGCAATATTCAAAAACCTCAAAACCTCCTTCCTGCCACTTCAGAAAGGAAACCACCCCCTGCCCCAGATGGGTGCAGTCATGGCCTCTCTGCTGTGGTGATGAAAGATCGACCGTCATTACGCTGCCCCCATCACCACAGACACATGAGAAAAATAGGGAAAAAAGAAAAGTGAGGGACTGGAGAGATGGCTCAGCGGTTAAGAGCACTGGCTGCTCTTCTAGCGGACCTGGGTTCAATTCCCAGCACCCACGTGGCAGCTCACAACTGTCTGTAGCTCCAGTTCTAGGGAATCTGACACTCACACCAATGTACATAAAATAAAGTTAAATAAATTAAAAAAAGAGAGAGAGAAATGAGAGCAGTCTAAGTAAGGCTTGTAGCCAATTGTGGGTACCTGGGACGGACGGACAGATGGACTGATGGATGGATGGATGGACAGATGGATGGACTGATGGATGGATGGATGGATATGGCCTCAAAGGGAGGGAGGGAGGCTGTTTCTGCGGCGAGCAGCTCCACAACAGGAAGCATGCCTGTTAACACCCAGCTCTACACACCGCTCATCTTCAGCATTGTCACTTGTATCACCTGATCTGCTCAATGTCCTCTGTCCTCATAAATGTTCTGAGATTAAAAACAACAGAAAAACAATATATGGGGCTTGAAGGAGGCACCCAGTGTGATGCTCTGGGCGTGGGGAGAGGGAAGGAGTGTTATGTAGGCAGCAGGTGGAGGGAGACAGGTTAAAGCTGGGTTTTCTTCCTTCTTTCTTGGCTTTTGAGACAGGGTTTGTCTGCATAGCTCTGGCTGTCCTGGAACTCACTTTGTAGATCAGGCTGAAATTTTTGTTTATTTTATTTTATGTGTATGAAATATTTTGACTACATATATGTATAAGCACCACATTCATGCCTGGTCCCCTCAGAGGTCACAAGAGGGAGTTGGACTCCTTGGAACTGGAGTTATGGATGGTTCTGAGCCACTATGTGGGTGCTAAGAACCAAATTCAGGTCTTCTACAAGAGCAACAAATGCTCTTAACCACTGAGCCATCCCTCCAGCTCTAAGGCTGGGTTTTAAAAGATGAGTAATGATAATAGGAAAGAGATGGAACGCTTCAGCTAGAGGCACCTGTGAGGGAGACAGACCCTAAAAAGGAGAGACTGTACCCAGTACTGGGTGGTGAAGGACTGGGATCTGCACTCCTCAACACTCAGTGACACCGGGGAACCTTGTGGAGATCAAGAGACTGTGACAGGTGCTTATGAAAAAGAAATAAATACATCAATCCATCAATCCATCAGCCGGGCGGTGGCGGCGGTGGTGGTGGTGGCGGCGGCGGCGGCGGCGGCGGCGGCGGCGGCGGCGGCGGCGGCGGCGGCGGCGGCGGCGGCGGCACACGCCTTTAATCCCAACACTCAGGAGGCAGAAGCGGACTGATCTCTGTGAGTTCAAGGCCAGCCTGGTCTACAAATTGAGTTCCAGGACAGCCAGAGCTGTTACACAGAGAAACCCTGTCTCGAAAAACAAAACAAACGAACAGAATCAAGCAGAGGCTAGGGAAATGGAAAGTGGGGAATCTGGGTGTAGATCTAAGTACACACGTACAAACAACTGGGCCTGGCACGTGCCTGTCAACCGGTTCTGCGGAGGTAGAGACAGAAAGACACCTAGCCAGCTGGGCTAGCCAAATCAATGAGCTCCAGGTTCGATGAGAGATCTTGTCTCAACAATAAAGGGGGGCCTGGAGAGACAGCTCAGCACTTTACAGTCTATTGCTCTTGCCTGGGGTGGTTGTGCACACCTTTAATCCCAGCTCTCAGGATGAAAAGGCAGGTGGATTTTTGTGAGTTCAAGTCCAGCCTGATCTATACAGTGAGTTCCAGGACAAGCCAGAGCATCATAGTGAGACAAATAGATAAGATGGATGGATGGATGGATGGATGGATGGACGGACGGACGGACAGACAGACAGAGTAATGCTCTTGCAGAGGACCTGAGTTCTGTTCCCACCATGCACAGTGAGTGTCTCACAAACATCTGTAACAACAGCTTCAAAACATCCAATGCCCCCTGCATATGGGCACCCGCATATACCTGCACACACATGCACCATCTCCCCCAACATATTACAAATACTTAAAAATGAAATAAATGTTTTAAAATAAAAAAACAAAAGGAGACCAGCAAGATGGCTCAGTAGGTAAAGACACCCGCTATACACATCTGACAACCTGAGTTTGGCTCCCTGGAGCGCAATTGAGGTAGCAGCAGAGAATCTATTCCACAAAGCTGCTCTTTGACCTCCACATGCCCCCGCCCCCACACACACATAAAATAAAATATAAATAAACTGGGTTGGGTGAGATGGCTCATCCAGGAAAGATGCTTGTCCCAAGCCTGGTGACTGGAGTTCAGTCCCCAGGACCCACAAGTGAGAAAACTGAGTCCTGTAAGTTATTCCGAGTTCCCTCCACACACGTGCCATTGGGCATGTATGTACACAAGTAAGTAAATATCTGTAAAATCTGTCCTTCAAAAATGTCAACAGCAATTGAGGAAGACACCAATGCCTCTGGTCACCACACACACACAAGGCACAGAAAGGCTAGGGGAGAAGGCCACTACCGTAGAGTAGAGGAAGGCAGATCCTGAGTGTGGAGGGACGGGAAGATGCTGTGCCTAGGACACTGCAGGCCGGCCGAGCCTCCTGCCTTTCTAGCTGTGGAGTTGGAAAATGTGCCCGATACTCATCTTACCTAACCCTCTCTTTTTTAAGACTTTTATTTTACAAGCATTTGCCCTGCATGTATGTATGCGTACCGTGTGGATGCTTGGTACCGGAGGAGGCCAGAAGAGGGTGTCAGATCCCCTGGAACTGGAGTTACACAGCTGTGAGCCATGTGGGTACAAGGAATTGAACCCAGGTCCTCTGCAAGAGCAGCTAATGTTCTTAACCACTGAGCCAACCTTCATCCTCTCCTTTTCTTTTTAAAATTATTTTTAGATGAAGATAGGGACTCAATATATAGCCCAGGCTGGTCTTGAACTTGTGGCAATCCTCCTGCCTCCACCTCCCAGGTGCTGGGATTCCACGCTTGCATTACCACACACAACAAATTTGATTTTTTTTTAATCAAAGCAGCAGGCGTTCCTGCTGTGGTAAGCCGATGTCTCTGCAGGGGAGTAACAGCTCACTGGAGACCAGTTTGATATGCAGGGCTCTGCAGAAACGCCCAGGGCTGAATAAGAGGCCCTTCTGGACCACGCCACTCCTTTCGCATTACTTCTTTGCCCACCGAGGAGGACTTTGGTTCTGCAGTTCAGTTTTAAAAGTTGTGTTTGAGCCAGCAGAGACAGGGGTTGGGGACGTCTGTGCCTATTATAAATTCACACATTGGCCTTGGAGCACAAATCATTCTTAAGTGACCTCCATTTCCTTCCCATTGCCCTCTGTTTGGCCGGGGCGTTTATCCAGGGATCCATGGCAACAGCCTTTCCCAGGCACTGCCCTGCTCCAACCCTTTCTCTTCACCTTCCCATCCTGAACAACCCAGACTGCAGTTCACTGCTGCGAACCCTCTGCCAGCTCTCCAGAGCCCTCAGGATGCCTGCAGGATTCTTGCGCCAGCTCTGCTCCAGTCCCTCCTCTCTGGTGACATTGATTTCCTCTGGCACCTCCCCTGCCGGGCCCCCTCACTCCTCTTTCCTTTGTACTTCCAAACAACTTCCTTTTCCTTGATAACACACACTGCCTCGCGTGACTCACAATTAGTCATGTCTATCCCTGGACTGTGAGCCTCTGGGAGACCGGGCTTTGTCTATTTTTATACCTCTCCATCTCCCCAGGGCCAGCTATGGCATCTTGCATCAGTACGCTAAGCGACCATTTATTGCATCTATGCTGTGTCAAAGGCACCTGGCTGGTGCTGGAGGCAGCAGATGCTTAATAAAGGCTGGTGACTTGTCCCTGACAAAAGGGACAGCATCAAAAAACGTTCTCTAGACTTAGGATGCTCAGGCGACATGCCCTCCTCAGCCTTCGTGGGTGGAAGTGAGAAAGCAGTTAGGTTTAGGGCGGCAGCCTACAAGAAGCAATGCATGAATCAGCATTACTGCTTTTACCTGCTTCCCCAAAAATGGAGGCACAGGGGTCGACAAGATGGCTCAGTGGTAGAGGTGCTTGCCACCAGGCCTATAGACCTGAGTTTGATCCCCGGGACCCACAGGAAAGAGAAAATAAGACTCCCACAAGTAATCCTCAGACTTCCACACAATTACTGTGACATGTATACCCACACATACAGAAGATAAACAAATGTTTTTAACTGAGGCATGTCTTACATCCTAATTAACACGGCTCTCCTCTTTTCCTCCTCACAATTGCTTCTTCCTCCCTCCTTGTATAATCACTTTAAAAAACAAACAAACAAACAACAGGGTCTCACTCTGTAGCTCAGGCTGGTCTCAAACTCTTAATCCTCCTGCCTCAGCCTCCAAAACACTAGAGTTAAAAGTGTCATACACCCGGCTAAATTGTGGGGTGGGAGGAAAAGATCATTTCAAGTGCATTCCTCCTCAGGCTCCACCCACCCTGGGTGGTTTTTATTTTGTAACTGTATAGGTGTATGTTTGTGTATGTACACACTCGTGCATGCATGTGTGTATACACACATGCTCAGAATGTGTCTGTAATTATTCAAACATGTGTTTAGAGGCCAGAGGACAGCCTCAACTGTTGTTTCTCAGGGACCCTCTACCTTGTCATTTGAGATAGTATTTCCCACAAGCCAGGACTCATCAGGTAGGCTAGGCTGGCCGGCCAGCAAGGTCTAGGCATCCACTACCCCTGCCTTCCCAGCGCTGGGATTATAAGTGTGGACTACCATGTCAAGCCCCCCCACTTTTTTCCTATAAATCGAACTCAGGTCTTGCACAGCAAATACTCTACTGACTAAGCCCTCCCACTCCAACAGACACATACAAATAAATAAATGTAATACAAAATTTAAAACAAAAAGGAAGCTGTGTTTTAAAAAAGATGGCTGCTCCTGGTTGTCAAACTGACTATATCTGGAACCAATTAAAACCCAAATGGCACACCTGTGAGGGATTTTTTTCCTTAATTAAATTATTTGAAGTGGGAAGACTCACTTTAATCCAGATCTTTGGAGGTGGGAAGGTCCATCTTTAATCTGGGCCACACCTTCTGCGGGAAGCCTGTGTAAGGACATGGAAGAAGGAAGTCTTTGCTGTTTGCCTGCTTGCTCTCACCTTGCTAGTAAGTCCATTCCTTCACTGGCATTAGAGCCTACTTCTTTGGGAGGATCTGCTGAGGCATCCAGCCTCGTGAACTGAACAACTACTAGATTCTCGGGCCTTCAATTCATAGGCAGCCATTGTTGGATTAGCTGGACCACAGTCCGTAAGTCATTCTAATAAATACTGTTCCGCAGATAGAGAGAGAGATTCATTCTATAAGTTTTGTTACTCTAGAGAACCCTGGCCAAAACAGAAGTATTTGCATTGTAAGTAAAAAACAAGCAGCCATCCCTTACAACGTTTGGTTTTGCCTCTTTCTCACTTAAACATCTATTCAGTGTGTGTGCATGTGTATGCCTGCATGTGCTGTGGAGGTCAGAAGGTAACTTTTGGGAATGGGTTCTAGTTTTCACCTTTCACCATGTGGCTCTAGGAACTGAACTCATGTCACCAAGCTTGACATCAAGCTCCCACTGAGCCATCTCACCAGCCCTGTTTCTGCCCCTTGTTAAACAAAAGAAAATGTGTATACACTACACCTATATCTTGCATAGCCTGTGCAATAAACTAATGCTGCCTCAGATCAATGCTAGCTCCCCCACGTTCTAAAAAAGCAGCAAGAATATGATATGATAGGTTTCACCTGGCTCCTAGTGCTTGGGAGGCAAAGTCAGGATCCTGGATTACAAGTTGGAGGAGAACCTGTCTTAGAAACAAATGAGCAACAACAAAAACGGGGTGGATGAGAGATCTCAGACAGTAAAGAGCGCAGCATACAAGCACGAGGATCTTGCTTCAATTCCCAGGACCCACATAAGAAGCCAAGTGTGGAAGTGTATGCTTAGCATTTCAGCACTGACAGGTGGCTAAAGGGTCCCTGGGCTCACTGGCCAGCCTAATTAATCAGCTGTAGTAGAATATTATTTTAAGGTGTGTTACTTTTGTTTATGCTGCATTTGTTTAGCTCTGTGAAGCTGTGTTGCTGTGCCTGCCTAAAACACCTGATGGGCTAATAAAGAACTGAACGGCCAATAGTGAGGCAGGAGAAAGGGTAGGTGGGGCTGGCAGGCAGAGAGAAAATATAGAAGGGGAAATCTTGGAGAAGAAGATCTAAGAGCAAGAGAAGGAGGAGGGCTCCAGGGGCCAGCCACCCAGCCACACAGCAAGCCCTGGAGTGAGAGTAAGATATACAGAAGTAAGAGAATGGGAAAAGCCCAGAGGCAAAAGGTAGACATCTATAATCCTAGCATTTCTACAGACAGGTGGAGGCAGAGGCAGGAGAACTATCAATCTCAGCCCCTGGGGCAGCTAGGCTGCAGTACTCAGCAACAGGAACAAGAGAGCCCAGCTCAACAAGGTGGGAGGCAGAACGGACTCCTGAAAGTTGTCCTCTGACCTCTGCATGAGTGCCCCCCCCAGTAAATATTAAAAGGAAGGAACGGAGGGAGGGAGGGAGGGAGGAAGGGAGGGAGGGAGGGAGGGAGAGAAAGGCTGGAGAGACGGCTCTTGAAGAAGACCTGAGTTCAGGTCCCAGCATTTGGTCAACTCCTTGTAACTCTAGCTCCTCCAGGGGATCTGATGTCCTCTCCTGGCCTCAGTGTGCACCTGCACCCACATGCACATACACACATACACATAATTAAAACAAAAATAAAGCCGTGGGGGTAAAATAAATAAAAACGAGGTGGACAGTTCCTGAGGAATGACGCACGATACTGACCTCTGGCCTGCACACACATGCACACATACAAAGAATATGGCAAGGCACGACTACCCTCTCAAGCTACCCACAGGAAGCCCAGGAAAACCATGCAGCAGCTTCGGGCTCCCAAGGAATCAGACTTTTGTCAGAGTCATCTGTTCTCCTTGGCGTCATCTTCCTCAAAACTTCCACCCTCGCTTCACCCTTGTTTACAGTTGTTCTTCAGACACGAGTGACATCTTTGTCACTTGAGGGAGTAAAGTTCATGACAAAGAGGAGGAAAAACAGCATGCCATGCTCAAACACAGACGCCAGTGTAATGCTCACACCTATGATCCCAGCACCAGGGAGATGCAGTCAGGAGGATGAGGAGTTCAAGACTCTCCTCAGCTACACAGTGAGTCTGGACTAACCTGGGCCATGGTTAGTCCTGTCACAAACACACACACACACACACACACACACACACACACACACACACACACACACACGTGAAAGACCTCAGTCACTAAGTGATGCTCCTCCCCCACAGCCCCCCATGGAGATGCCTGCACTTGTGCCTTGGCAAGTCACAAGTTACTAGACATCATAGACACTGTGGGGCCTCCTAGGAAAGAGAAACCACAGACATGCTGCACCCTATTCCTGTACCCCCTGTGTCACTGTCCCCCCAAAACCAGCAGCTTCTCTGCATCAGCAAGCTTTAGTTACTCTTCAAAGGGAGTCTCTCAGCAGGAGTGGGTCCCTCGACAGGACACTCTATAGTGCCGTCTTAGCATCTGACACACAGGGTGCTCTCTTATCCATGTCAGAACGTCTGCACTACAACACACAAGGCACAACTCACAGAACTGCTTTTCAAGCCCTCCCTCCTTCCTTCCCTTTCCTCTTCTTTCTTTCGGTGCTGAGGGCTTGAACTAAGTGCAAAAAAGATCTGGTCTACTATTAAGCCTCTGACACAAACTTTTTCCATATGATAACCTATAAAAGGAAACACAGCCGGGAAGTGTGGCACACATCTTTAATCCCAGCACTCGGAGGCAGAGACACTAAGAATGAGTTCCAGGACAGGTAAACCTTGTCTTGAAACAAACAAACAAACAGACTGATTTTATTTTATGTGCATGCGTGTTTGCTATTATAGATGTTTTTGCATCATGTTTGCCTTGTGTCCTTGGACACCAGAGGGTATTAGAGCCCTTGGAATTGGAGTTACAGCTGTGAACCACCTTGTGGGTGCTGGAAATTGAACCTGGGTCTGCTGAATGGGCATGTCAGCCTGCCTGTAATTCCAGATCTCAAAACTGGTGCCAGGAATCCAGCCAGCCCTTTCTATAAGCTCTGCGTTCAACCGAGAGACCCTGCCTCAAAGAATAAGGTGGAGAGCTATTCAGGAAGACTCCTGATGCCGACATCCAAATGCAGATGCACACACATACAAAACCATACCAATTCAAACGTGTATACACGCAAGCATGCACACCACATGTGCATGGGGAAAGATGCCTATAAGCAGACAATGGCTTTATCAGTGACACACACACCAGGACACAGACAGCCTCCCCAGAAAGGAGGTGTATGCCAGGTCATGTAGGAAGCAAGTGTCTTGTCCTGTGGAGAAGATAAGTCATGCTGTCCCAGGTAGAGGGACACAGGAGAAAGCATGTCCACCAGGGACCTGCTGGCTCTCTCAAGACCTGAGCCTCCTGATTCGCGGCTTCAAGCATCATGGTTCCCACAGACTCAACTCCGCAAGTGGAAGCTTTCCATTCTCACTAAGTCCTGTCTGGTCCCTCGAGTTCGCGGACACTTCCGCTCCCTTCTCTCCCTCGCTCCCACCTCCGTCCGTCTGTCGCTCACGCCCACCGTTCCCTCAGCTCCTGCAGTAGTCTCTGAACTGACAACCGTTTGCTCTGCTCAGTCCTGAATCATGCTGCCTGGGGCTACCAAGCTGACCCTGTGTTAAAGGGGGAAGGGGCAGACGATAGGAGCGTCTATTACCCAGCTGAAACCCTCCAGGGGCTCCAGCGCCTTCAAGATGAAGTGCAGTCTCTCCAGTGGTTTATAAGACCCATGGTGGTGGGACTCTGCTCACCTCCCAAACCTTGCCTCTGATCTCCACTTCGGGGTAGGGGACTTCGAATCCCGAGGAGCATCGTGCGCTGCTGGGTGTGGTGGTACACACTTGTAATCCTGGGATGAGGAATTTACAGCCAGCCTGCACTACACAGCAAGTCTGAAGGCAGCCTGGGCTACATGAGATCTTGTCTCAAAAACCATTGACGGATGGGGACTGTAGCTCCATAGTAGAACATTTGTCTGCCATGTACAAGACCCTGGCTTTGGTCCCTAGCAGCACTAACATGCCTAGGCCTCACTCCAAAAGGTTCAGGTTTAATTTCCCCAGGGAAAGCTCTGGCATCATGATGTCTTTAAGTCACCATGTGATGCGCCATGATGTCATTAAGTCACCATGTGATGCATCATGGTGTCATTAAGTCACCGTGTGATGCGCCATGGTGTCATTAAGTCACCGTGTGATGCGCCATGGTGTCATTAAGTCACCGTGTGATGCACCATGGTGTCATTAAGTCACCGTGTGATGCGCCATGGTGTCATTAAGTCACCGTGTGATGCGCCATGATGTCATTAAGTCACCACATGACACAGCAGGGCTGAGAATGCTGCTCTGGTCAGGTCTTTCCCACAGATCTGGGGTCCCTGCACTTGCGATGTCTGGCCAGGAACACTCAAGCTTTCCACTCTGGGCCGTGAAGCCAGACCTCACTACCTCCCTTGTCCACTGCTATATTCCCAGCACCCAGCTCTGGAATGAACTATTTGCCAAGAGAAAAGCAGGAGAGGAGCAAACGACCCTGTTTCTCCGTTCTCCCGTTAGCCCCCCTCACCCCACACTGATTACATTTCTCTCCTAGCCCATATGTCCTGCAGGAGCCCTGTCTCCATGTCCCCTGACACTTGCACGTCTAGCAGGGTGGCCAGTGTACAGTTAGCAATGATTTCAAAAGTGCAGCAGGAGACCTGGAAATACATGGATGTGGCGCACGGGGCAAAGCAGGAATTCAGTATGGCTAGAGGCAGTGGTGGCACACGAGGCTGGGGAGGCACACTGCCGGCAGCTTACGAAAGGCCTCCTGGCCACACGAGGAGGCCGGACACTGGAACAATACGCCAGCAGATGTTTTAAGTAGCATGGGGACTTCAGGCATTCGGAGCAGCACAGGGAAGACCAAAGGAAGAGCAGAGGGAGCCGAGGCACAGGATGGGGAGAAGGGGCCAGAGCAGAGAGACAGAGGTAAAATGGACAGGACTTGTAGCCTGCGTGGAGCTGGGAGAGGGGGAGGTGCTGCGGATGACTCCAGTGTCCTGTTTGGTGGCAGCACATCAGATGTGGCAATGGGATCAGACAGGCAATGTTGACAGCCTGGATGCAGGAGCCAGACTGTCTTGATTCAAATCTTAGGACTTGAAAAGGGCTTAGCTCCCTGGGAAAGGTAAGCTTGCCCAATGGGGAGGAGAGACCGACAAGAAGGAAGTCAGAACCTAGGGTGGAATTCTGTCCTCCAGGTTTCTAAAGGAACGGTAGAGGAATTCTGTGAAGGGGACAAGAGGTCGATCGATCAGGGACCTCTGGTTCTTTGGAACCAAACTGAGAGAACAGCAGTAGCAGAATGTTCAGGCTACAAAGAGCTACAGGAGGCCAGCGAGGAGGCCAGCGAGGAGGCCAGCGAGGAGGCCAGTGAGGAGGCCAGGGAGGAGGCACAGCGGGAAAGGCACTTGCCATATACACCTGGAAACCTGGGATCCACAAAAAGTGATACGGTGGTTTGCATCTGTAATCTTGGCACCCACAAGGTTAGACAGAAGGTGGAGACAGGAAAATTGCCCTGGAAGCTCATGGGCTCATCAGCATGTCTGAAACACTGTCCCCAAGCAAGGCGGAGCTGGAGAAATGGCAGTGTGTAAAGGCACTTGTCCTCAAGTCTGACAACCTGAGTGTGATCTCAGAAACCCATACAGTGGAAGTGAAGAACTGACTCCCACAAGCTGTCCTCTGACCTCCACACCTGCACACACACACACACACACACACACACACACACACACACACACAATGTAAAACTGAAGTTAAAAAAATTGACAAATGAAAATGGGAGCTGGAGAGACGGCTCAGTGGTTAAGAGTACCCGCTGCTCTTCCAGAGGACCTGGGTTCAATACCCAGCACCCACGTTGGGATCTGACACTCTCTGGCCTTTGAGGATACCTACACACACTCATGGTACACACACAGAGATAAATTTAAAAAATAAAGCTGGGTGGTAGTGGTGGTGTATGCCTTTAATCCCAGCACTTACGAGGCAGAGGCAGGTGGATCCCTGAGGCCAGCCTGGTCTACAGAGCAAGTTCCAGGGCAGTGAGGGCTACACAGAGAAACCCTTTTTAAAAACCAAAATATAAATAAAATAAAAATAAATAAATTAAAATATAGGGCTGGAAAGATGGCTCCATGGTTAAGAGCATATGCTACTCTTGGAGAGATCCTGGGTTAGATTCCTACCCCATGTGGTGTCTCTCCACAACCATCTGAAACTCCAGGGGATCCAACACCTCTTCTTGCCTCCATGGCCACCAGGCACATACATGGTACACGCAGGCAAATTATAAAATAATAATAATAAATAAACAAGGTAGAAAGAGAGACCCTGTTCTCAAAAGTTGCCCTTTGACCTCTACATACTTGCCTGCATTCAAACACACAGACACAGACACACACAGAGACATACAGACTCACAGACACACACACAGAGACATACACACTCACAGACACACACACACACAGACATACAGACTTACAGACACACACACAGAGACATACAGATTTACAGACACAGTCACACACACAGAGACTCATAGACACAGACAGACAGAGACACACACACACAAACACACACACTTTCTATTTTAAAAAATGACAAAGAAAGCAATGGGTTTGTGGGTGCAGTGGCACTTGCCGGTAGCCCCAGTGCTTGGGCTGTAGCAGCAGAGCACTGGCCTAGCATGTGCAAAGACCTGGGTTCAAGTCCTAGTCTCCTCCAAAACCAACCAAACAAGAAGTCCAGGCCCATACTCTGGGTTTTCCAGATGGCTCAGCATTAAGAGCACCAGCGAGCAGAGGACCCGTGTTTATTTTAGAAACAGAGTTTCTCTGTGTATCCCTGCTGTCCTGGAACTTGCTCTGTAGACCAGGCTGGCCTCGAACTCACAGAGATCTGCCTGCCTCTGCCTCCTGAGTGCTGGGATTAAGGTATGCGCCACCACTGCCCAGCAAGGACCCCTGCTTTTATTCCCAGCACCCTCAAAACAGCTCACAACTGTCTAACTCCAGTTCCAGGGGACCTGGCACCCTCTTCTGGTCACTACAGGCTCTGCACATATGCAGTACACATGTAAATGCAGGCAAAACACTCATACACATAAAATAATTTTTAAAATTAAAACAAAAACCTACTCTGCAGCCAAGAAGCATCTTTCCTCCTCCCAGAGTGACTCTTTGCACCTGTGTGTGGCCCTCACCCTCCAGCCTTCAAGGACGACCCTTACACTGCATGCCTAGGGCTTACCTCTTTTCTGCTGCGGTTTTTCTCTGCCCTGAATCCGTCCCTCTGGCCTCCACACACACGAAGTCTAAACAGAACAAAGCCCCTCACTGGCTTCTCCTCCTCCTCCTCCTCCTCCTCCTCCTCCTCCTCCTCCTCCTCCTCCTCCTCCTCCTCTCTTTTCTAAAATGCTCTGTATGTGTGACCGTCAGAGGACAACTCTATGGAGTGTGTCTTCTCCCACCGTCACGTGGCTTTCTGAGATCCACCTCAGGCTGTCATCAGGCTTGCTCGGCAAACCCTTTACATACCGAGCCATTTCATCACCCTAGCACACTCAGTCCTGATAAGCAGGCACTAGATACGTGAGTGAGAGCAGGGTCTGCCTGAGACACAGCGGGAAAAGTTCCTTAGCGTAATGAGTGTTGACGGGGACGAAACGGCCAGGAGCAGAAGCAGAAAGAAGTGGCTGTTATGCCTCCCGATAAGTATGGAGCCTTTTAAGAACAGGACATACCCTCACAGATGTCTTCCATTGTCTCTGTGTCAGAAAAGTCAGCATTAGAGGTGGGGAAATTGGCCTCCCCTCTGATAAGAGAGGAGTGGATCTCTTCAGAGAACACTTCACAACCCATACCCACGCATAGCTTGCTTGCTGAGAGAGGAACAGGTGAATGTTCCCTCCGGCAAGACACCATTAGAAAGCAGGGTTCAGATCCACCTTGGTGCATCTGGCTTCCGCTCTCTGCCCAGCACCCCGATATATCCCACTGAGCAGCAAGAGGCCACATTCCCGCACTGTCCAGGCACACACCAAGGCTCCTTCAAGAGGCCACATTCCCGCACTGTCCAGGCACACACCAAGGCTCCTTCAAGAGGCCACATTCCCGCACTGTCCAGGCACACACCAAGGCTCCTTCAAGAGGCCACATTCCCGCACTGTCCAGGCACACACCAAGGCTCCTTCAAGAGGCCACGTTCCCGCACTGTCCAGGCACACACCAAGGCTCCTTCAAGAGGCCACGTTCCCGCACTGTCCAGGCACACACCAAGGCTCCTTCAAGAGGCCACGTTCCCGCACTGTCCAGGCACACACCAAGGCTCCTTCAAGAGGCCACGTTCCCGCACTGTCCAGGCACACACCAAGGCTCCTTCAAGAGGCCACATTCCCGCACTGTCCAGGCACACACCAAGGCTCCTTCAAGAGGCCACATTCCCGCACTGTCCAGGCACACACCAAGGCTCCTTCAAGAGGCCACGTTCCCGCACTGTCCAGGCACACACCAAGGCTCCTTCAAGAGGCCACGTTCCCGCACTGTCCAGGCACACACCAAGGCTCCTTCAAGAGGCCACGTTCCCGCACTGTCCAGGCACACACCAAGGCTCCTTCAAGAGGCCACGTTCCCGCACTGTCCAGGCACACACCAAGGCTCCTCTCACCATTTGCTTATTCGTTTCTCGAGGCATATAACTACAATATGAGATTTTTTTTCTTCTTCTTTAAAAGACAGGATCTTGCTATATAGCCCAGGCTAGCCTGGAATTCTTGATCCTACTGCTTTGCTTCCTAAGTGCTGGGATTACAAGCATGAACCACAAGCCTGGTACATGATTCACTTTTAAGGCATTACAAGATCAAGCAGGAACTGGAGAGATGGTTCAGTGGTTAGAGCACATGCTGCTTTTGTAGAGGACCTGGGTTCAATTCCCAGCACACACACAGCAGCTCACAACCATATGTAACTCCAGTTCCAGGGGATCCAACATCCTCTTCTGGTGGGTACTGCACTCACACATGCACTCATACACATAAGAAGAAAAGAAAGAAAGAAAGAAAGAACAAAAGAGAGATCTAAAAAACAAAAAAGGAAACCCAGCATAGAGAACCATAAAATATTCAAAGTAATGTTAAATATAAGTTAAAGTTAGACAGACAATTTGCTGAACTGGTCAAGTGTTTCCTCAAGCCTGAGCCTGCATAAAGGTAGGAAGAGAGACCAGCTCCTGCGAGCTGCCCTCTGCCCTCCACACCCACGGTGTGGCGTGTACACGTGTGTGTCCCACCCCCACCCCATACAGAAATAAAATAATTAAATAAAAAAGTCCGCCAGGTGGCGGTGGCACACGCCCTTTAATCCCAGCACTCAGGAGGCAGAGGCAGGTGGATCTCTGTGAGTTCGAGGCCAGCCTGGTCTACAGAGTGAGTTCCAGGACAGGCTCCAAAACTACACAGAGAAACCCTGTCTCAAAAGACTGAAAAAAAAAATAAAAAGTTAAATTCCATATCCCTTTTACGTCCTTCTTTCCCTTCACAAGACGCCGGAAAGATTCCTCAGCCTCTCCCTGAGAGGTGCAGAGTTAACACTGTGGTTTCTGCTACTGTCTTCTTCCTCCTGCAACCCACCTCCTCCCAACAGGGCGGGCACTTACCTCTGGTGAGCCGGGATTCTGTCAGGGACACATTCTCAGTCCACTGCCCTCACATGTTAGAATGAGGATGCAACACAGTCTGGCAATGCCAGCGTTTAGCAGCCTTCCTATGGTTTTTAACTCAGAAACCAGACACCTGCCTTGGCCACCTACTCCAGCCCGGCGATAGAAAACCTCATCCCAGTGCTCCAAGGCAACCTCGAATCGACCCCTCTCAGGCCTCATGCCAGTCTTTAAAAACTGTCCCCAACACACTGAGTCAGTTCCATGACTCTCCATCTTTGTCCCTTCGTGCTTAAACGTTAAGCTAAACAACAGACAATTTCCAGCACCTTCCTCTCAAGCAGGCCGAAAAAAACCCGTCCATAGGCAGAAACGCAACCCCAAAGGGGCTGATGATACCGACTTCTACTTCGCGTATAGTCCACACTTAGAACCACGGACAGACTCACCATAGCTGACAGTCTGAAGTCCAAGCTCAAGACACCCTTCACTACCAGCTTGCTTAATTAGAACGGAACAGGCTCCCAAACTGGGAACCTTAAGTAAAACAAGTCAGATTGTTGCTGTTTCCTGTAGCAAAATCAGTCTTCTTTTAATCTTTGTAATCTAAATCTATCTTTCGATTGGGGCTGGAGAGACGGCTCAGTGGTTAGGTGCACTATGGGCTCTTTCCTAAGAACTCTTTCCCAACACCTACATAGCAGCCCATTAACTGCGGATAACTCCAGTTCCAGGGATCTGACGCCCTCTTCTGGCCTCCACAAACACTGCACACTCATGGTGCACACAAAACACTTATATACATACAACACAAATAAATAAATCTAAAAAACAATCTATCATGAAAGAAAGCAGCTACTACATTCCTCTAGGAAACCTGAACAACGTCATCAGCTAATTTCAATAGTCTCAAATTCATACTTTCGTGAAATAAAATTGCTTTAAAAAAGTAGAAAACAAAAACCTCACCTATCTTGCCCAGGAAACAAAACTAACAAAAATAAGGCCTCTTCTGCACGGCTAGCCTAAGTAACCATTGGCTTTTCTTTTTTGTCGGCGTGGGCGCTCCGTTACATCTGCCCTCCACCTCGCCTGGAATTTGCCACCCAGTGACACCTGTCTTGACTCAGTAGAGGAATGCTCTCTCTTCAATCGAGAATTTGTGCTTGAGGTTTGGATTTTTTTTTTTTTTTAATGGTTAGGAAAAGAGGCGAGTGGGATGTGAGGCTTGGAACTCAAGTCTTATTTCCAACTTAATTGAACGGCTCTCGTTCCCTCCCATCTTCCTCTGCAGAATACGCAGGTATGTGGGTTAAATTTCAAGTGAGTTTTTTTGGCAGTTAAAAAAAAAAATCCCAATTAAAAGAACAAAAATGGAGGCTGGTAACTAGGGTGGAGATGGGGCTGAAATCGAGGGCTGCGTGGGCTGCCCGGGTCCAGAAGGCCGGGCAGCTGAAGGCAGCATGCGAGGACGCCACCCTGGTCCTCGGCGGCCGCCGCCTTGGGCTTCTGCCAGACACTGCGCGGTCCTGGGTCTCGGCTGCCCACTCGCACCTCGGGTTGGTCCGGACTTTAGGCTAGGCTCGTTCACTTCCGGTGACAAATCCCTCCCACCCCCTCGAGACATAATGTACCGTTTCCCCATCGCCCTCCTCAAGACCGTCGGCCCTGTGGGGAGAGGCGAGGCGCCCCGCCTGGGGTCTGAGCCCCGCGCGGCCAGCGGCCGCCAGCTGCGCAGGGAGCGGCCGCCACCGCACCGGGGAGAACGAGGGTGGGGGTGGCGTGCCATCCTCCCCCGCTCCCCCCTCCGACTGCAGCAATTGGCTAATAATAATAATATTAATCATAATAATAATCTGTTTTTAGACTCCCCCAGGAGCCCCGGAACCCGCTCCAGCGAGGAACCCAGTCTCTTTCATAGCGGTGCTTCGCGCCTTCTTCCCGCCCCAATAACTGCCCACGGGGACCCAGGCGCCCCCAGGCCGCGCGGAGCTGCAGTGGATGGGGGAGGGCAGGAAGGATGAGGGTTACCGGGGCGGCAGGGACCGGTTGAGCAAAGAGGTGATGGAAGGGAAAAGGGAAAGAAAAAAAAAAGAAGAAGAAAAAACCAGAGGCATGCAAGCGGCTCCCTGGCCAGCTGTTCCAGCTGCAGCTTCCTCCGGCGCGGCCCGGGAGGTGCAATAACCCCCCCTCCATCTTTCTCGCACTACCTGTCCCCACCGCCACCACAAGCACACATTCCTCCCCACCACCCTGTAGCAGATCTCCGGCCTGTTAGGGGGTAGTAGGGAGGAGCTGGGGGGAGGGGGAGGCCTGCGAGTTTCTAACCTTGTTCTTATAAACAAACTCACATGTGCAGCTGCCGCTGCTGCAACTCACCCCACAATCCCGGATATAAGGCCTGCCCCTTTAAGAAGAAAAAAAAAAAAAAGCCTCACCCGCCTGCCTCCCACCCCACCCATCCACCAGGACCTTTGTCTCCCCACCCCCTCCTGCCAGCCAGCCCCGCCCTCCGCCCCGCCCCCCCAGCGCGAGGAAACCAATAGGCGAAGAGGATATGGCGGGATCTGCCGTCACCGCGGCCGACCAATCACAGGGCGCATTGGTGGGAGGCCTTGCGGAGAGCGCCCGGGAGGAAAAGCGGCCGGTGAGGCCTCCTGGAGT